GATTTATGTTAACTAATATATGGCATGAACTAACACATGTGGATATGGGTTGTAACATCTGAAATCCAACCCTGGTTTGACTACACATCTCCTATTGTTGCTTCTTACTCTGGAAAAAGTTGTTTCAGTGAAGCCTGGCCTAGCCAATTATCCTCCCAGAAAGATACTTTCCTACCATTTCCAACTCTGAAGCTTGACTTGTTAATGAACTTAGGCCACAAGTTTCTAATAGACTTCCACAAACTGACCTCGTAGGGGCTTCTCACATGTTTGGTTGTCCATTTTCCTTCCATACCATACTTTTGTTCGACTACCTCTTTCCATAGGGGTTGTTCTTCTGAAGCAAATCTCCATAACCACTTCATCAATAAACTTTGATTCTGAATCTTCCAATTCTTAATTCCCAGCCCCCCTTCCTTCTTGTTACAAGTAAGGGAATTCCATCTGACCAAGTGAATTTTTTTCTTATCACTGTTTCCTTCCTATAAGAAATTTCTTCTCAAGGCATCTATTCTATTCACCACATTCACTGGGATTGGGAATAAAGACATCATATATATAGGCATAACATCAAGTACTGAGTTAAGCAAGATTAATCTTCCTCCCATAGAAAGGTATTGTTTCTTCCAATTGGCTAGCTTCTTCTCACATTTCTCTAAGACCCCATTCCATATCCGTTTTGACTTGCTTTTAGCCCCCAAAGGCATCCCCAAATATACTGTAGGTAACGACCTAATTTTTCCTCCAAGGATTTCGGCCAAATTTTGAAGCTCTGTCACCTCATTAACTGAATAAATAAAGCTTTTATTCCAGTTAATATGCAAACCAAATATTGCCTCAAACAAAATAAAAATGATCCTTAGCATTAGCAAATGTTCTTTATCAGCTTCACAGAATACTAGAATGTCATTTGCATATTGCAAATGAGAAATCTCCAATTGACTATCTGCCCTGGAGTTTACCCTGAATCCCCTTATCCAATTGTTTGTTTGACCCGTCTTCAACATATTATTCAAGCCTTCCATAGCAATGATGAATAAAAAAGGAGACAAGGGAGTCACCCTGCCTTAGGCCCCTTTGCGAAGGAAAGAAGCCAATTGGTGTCCCATTAATTAGAATTGAGAATCTTACTGTGCTGATGCAAAACTTAATCCAATGAACCCACCTACCACCAAAACCCAGCTTCCTCATGGCGTCAAGCAGAAAGTTCCAATTCAAATGATCATAAGCCTTTTCAATGTCCAATTTGCATAAGATGCCAGGCTTCTTGCTTAATATCCTTGCATCCACGCATTCATTGGCAATTAAAATGGTATCTATTATTTGCCTACCTTTAATGAAAGCCATCTGTTTAACATCCACCATCTTATTCACTACTTTCTTAAGTCTCTCTGTTAATAGCTTGGTGATTATTTTGTAGATGCTACCTATCAAGCTGATAGACCTGAACCCTTTCAGTTCCCTGGCTCCCACCTTCTTTGGAATCAATGCCACAAATATGGCATTGAAACTCTTTTCAAAAATACCCTGATCATAGAAGTTTTGAACTACAACTATTACTTCCTCGTTCACCACTTCCCAGCATTGAATGAAGAAGGCCATTGAGTATCCATCAGGTCCAGGGGCTTTAATCCCCTCCACATGCCTTCACACTATCCCAAATTTTTGGAATACCAAAAGGACTTTGGAGCAATTGATTGTCTTCTGGAGTAAGAATATGATAGTTCCTAAGATTACCTTGTGGTCTCCAAACCTCTTCTTCAGAATATAACTTTTGATAGAAAGTGACAATCTTTTTCTTGATATCACTAGGATTCTGTATCAACCCCCCCTGTACTACTAGCTGCTCAATATGATTATATCTCCTATGTGAATTGGTGGTTCGGTGGAAAATTTTTGTATTCTTATCCCCTTGCTTCAGCCACAAGGCTCTGGATCTTTGCCTCCAGGCCGCCTTCTCATGCTTTGCGATGTCCTCAAACTCCATAGCTAGGGCAGTTTTTGCATAAATTTCCTCTTCATTCAGAGGCCTCTGGTCATGAATCTCCTCCAATTGTGCAAGCTGGTTAAGGACATTTGTTTTCTGCAACTCCAGATTTCCTTGTAAAGTTCTGCTCCATTCTTTAAGTTTTCCCTTCAAGGTTTTGAGCTTGAAGGCCAAAATAAAGTCAGGACTTCCTTCACAACTAAAGGAATTCCACCAATGTCTAACTCTATCTGTGAATCCATCTGTTTGCAACCACCAATTTTCAAACTTAAAGTAAGATTTGATTGGATCCTAGTTGCCACATTGAAGCATCACTAGTGAGTGGTCTGAGGTTACTTTATGAAGTATTGATTGTTTGATATTTCTAAATCGTTCATTCCAGTCAATAGATACCAGAAATCTGTCCAATCTAGCAGCTATATTATGATTGTCACTTTTTCTCCATGTGTAGTTGCCTCCTGCTAACTGCATATCTACTAGTTCCATATCTTCAATAAAATCAGTGAAATCCTTCATCCCTCTTGTAATTCTGTTGCAGTTTTTCTTTTCTGATGGAAATCTCACAGTATCAAAATCTCCACAAACCACCCAAGGTCCATCAAATAAACCCCTGGCCCCTGCCAATTCCGACCACACTTCTTCCCTGTCTCTTCTGTCATTCGGTGCATACACACTAGATAAGTGCCAAATAAGTTCCTAAGATCTACCAGAAAACTTACATGTGATAGTGTGAGACCTAAGCTGCTAATTTCCCCATCCCATACTCTTTTGTCCCACAGAACGACTATACCCCCTCTAGTCCCACTAACTTTTAATTGTGCAAACTTTCCCCACCTATTGGCCCATAACTCTTTTACAATCTCCCTGATATCCCCTTTTAACTTGGATTCTTGAAAGCAGAAAACATCTGCTGTCCATTTGTTCATCATACTTCTTATCAGAACTCTCTTCCTTTGACGATTTAACCCCCTAACATTCCATGATACAATATTTACCTTCATTGATCACTTGTGACAATACATCCCCCCTTACTTCTAGTTCCATTACTCCTGAAATTACTCCCAATTTCCAGCCCCTTTAACTCTTTGAAACCCTTTCTTTTTGGAGTCTCCATCTCCTATAGTTCTGATTTCCCTTTGTTCTCTTGTCTTTTGTTGTCGATTTTTGAAAAGAGTTCCAAAGCTTCTCTTTCAGAGCCTTGAAAGTTGACACCAAATTCCTTGCTAAGTCTAATAATGTTCTGATGAGCCTAGATAGTTGCATCAAATTCTGGATCCTTCTCTTCCTCTAAACTTTGAAGGTTTAGAGGTACTGCTTCTTCAATTGCCCATCCAACAACTTTCTCCATTTGTTTTGCTTGCATGTGTGTGCTGTAGGTTTCCAGTAGTTCATCTTGTGTACCTCTATCTTCAAAAAGAGTCATAGCATTGAACTCTTCAATTGGATTCTGTTGATCGTACTCCTTTCCTTCTTCATGTTCTTTTCTGTGTTGTCTCCCTCTGAAGACTCTTTTACGCCTGATTTGATCGTATCTATTCCTCGATTATTTGCCTTTATCTCTTCACTAAAAGGATCGAGCCTAGGCCCTAATTTGGGTTCAGGATTATGGACCCTAAAAGAGATATCCTCCGATACATATTGGGCCAAAATATCTGGCCCAATGTCCTCTTAATAACCTGTTGTTCCCTATCCAGATTTGGAGTTAAGACTTGTGCCCCTTTCTCACGTGAGCTGTCACGTGTGGATTTTAAATTCGCATTACATGAAAGTTTTGAGCATCCCACGTGCCCTGTCATGTCAGAAATACATTGACCTCCTCTCTTGGTACTTTGAGTAGCCTCTTTTATTCGAAGGTCCGATTGCCTCCCTCCTCCGTCTTCTCCGATACTGGTACGTACTGGAGCTTCACACCAAATCTGGATCTCCGATATTAAACCTTCAAACTCCACCTTCACCGCTTTAGGAACTGAACTGCCATCACCTTTAACTTTTATTCTCGCCCATTTTAGGTGGTTTTTCAATTCTGTTTCTTCTTCAGTTTTGAATCCACCCACCGCAAAAATCTCCGACGTTTTTGAAAACATTATGGGATCACAGTTGAAGAGGAAGCCCTACAAGTTTGACCCACACATGATTTATCTTCTCTTCTCTTGGAATAGAGCACACCGTCGGAGACCACCATTGAAGGTTAATTTTATGCTTTTTCTACCTCGAGTCTCCTCTCAGAACGTGGTCAGCCACTAATTTAGAAGAAAATTCAAAAAGAAATCGATTGTAGCCAATCTCATAGATGTTGGTGCCGTGAGCCTGCTTCCAGTTGCTGCTAACCCAACAGCTAATTTCCGGTAAGGTAGGGAGATCTGAAATTTCTTCTGGCAAGCTACCCACCTGCTTAGGAGATCATTCTGCATAGTGTTGGAATCTCCAGGAATACTTATGATATCACTTTTCATATGGATCGTAGTTTCATTCATCTCTCTGGAGGACCACTTATATCTTGTGGTAGTATCCGAGTACAAAAGACCTTTCTCTGTGATTTTGGGTGCATTTATAACTGTTTGTCTGACTTTGTAATTAATGAATCTTTCAATCTTCAAGGCAATGTCCAACCATCCAATATTAAATGCTATCTCCGGGATAATAATGACAGATCTCCTTCTCCTTCTCCCTTGAACACTGATTATAGTTATGTAGCAACCATACGTATTATAATTTCTTGCATAGAAAAACTCAGAAAACTGATCATGAAATTTCCATCTTTTCACGTGGTTCCCTTTAATTTTCGATGCTTCCTTCAAGGTCTCGCAAAGCCACGCCATTGTCTTCCTGCTGAAAGTGGTTCTTCTGATAAGATTTCTACCGCACTCCGTCCATTCATACCATTCCTCAGCTCTGGACTCGCTTCTGATGATTTCATATGACTATAAACCCATTGCAAAATAAATGATATTAGCACCCATCTCTATTGGGATAGTTATCTTAAACTTATATTGGTAAGGAACTGGTTAAAATCCGGCCACAACACCGGATTTTCCCTTACAAAAGAGGATGGAACGAAAAGAAAGACTAAGAAACTTTAGTCTGGGGAAATGTGCCTTGGAGCATTTTGTATTTCATGAGGTCTAGTCACTTCCAGTTATGATTCCACAAGCTGATTCTCCTTCCATCTCCCACCCTGTAAGTGATGTTGCCACTGAAGGCTTCCCAATTCTTCACGATGCTCCTCCACATGCCACACCCGAAAGGTGTTGTGATTGCCTTGGTCCTCCAACCCGTTCCCGTGGAATCGTACTTTTCTGCTATGACCTCCTTCCATAGAGCATGCTCTTCTACCCCGAATCTCCACAGCCACTTCCCCAACAAAGCTCTGTTGAATACCCTAAGATCTTTTACTCCAAGGCCACCCCACTTCTTTGGGGAAGTGACTGTCTGCCAATTCACTAGATGAAACTTTCTGGTTCCATCCGCCGCATCCCAAAGAAAATTCCTTTGAAGCCGCTCCAGTTTTTCTGTGATGCTCACAGGAACTTGCAACAAGGACAAGTAATAGGTGAGCATACTCGATAAAGTGCTTTTAATAAGCACTTCCTTACTGTCTTTTGACAAGTACCGTTTCTGCCAGCCTGCTAATCTTTTTTCAACCCTTTCGATCACTGGATTCCAAACCGTAGTATCATTATGCGAAGCACCCAATGGGAGACCGAGGTAAGTAGTGGGAAGGGATCCCACCTTGTATCTGAGAACATAAGATAAAACATCAATGTTAGCAACCTCACCCACCAGGAAAATCTCACACTTGCCGAGGTTGATTTTGAGACCTAGATACTATCTGAAACCACTGCAGGACCTGCTTCAGGTAGGTCAACTGATCCATATCGGCATCATAGAAAACTAGGGTGTCATCCGCAAAGAGCAAATGAGAGACTCTTCGGGCACTGAGCACCCCCATCGGAGCTGAAAATCCTCTTAAGAAGCCTCCGCCAGCTGCACGATCCATCATTTTACTCAGAGCATCCATCACTAGAATGAATAGCATGAGGGATAGGGGGTGACCTTGCCTGAGACCCCTGGAGCTGCCAAAGAAACCACAAGGGCTACCATTAACCAGGACAGAGAATCTGATTGAGGAAATGCAGAACTTGATCCATTCCCTCCATCTTGCCCCAAACCCCATCCGAATCATAATGAAATCCAGGAACTCCCAATTGACATGGTCGAAAGCCTTCTCAAGGTCCAACTTGCATAGTAAGTCGGGTTCTCTAATTTTCCTTCAAGAGTCTACAAGCTCATTTGCCACCAAAGCAGCATCCAGGATCTGCCTACCTTCCACAAACGCATTCTGGGAGGACGAAACAGACACGTCAAGAACCTTCTTGAGTCTGTTGGAAAGCACTTTAGAAATAATCTTGTAAATGCTCCCCCCGAGAGTAATAGACCTGTAGTCTCTGATACAAGATGCACCTTCTTTCTTAGGAACAATAGTAATAAAAAAAGCATTGATACTTCTCTCGAAAACACCATTCACATGGAAGTACTCAATGGTTTCCATCAACTCCCCCTTGATGGCCTCCCAACAAAGCTGGAAGAAGGCCAAGGAGAAACCATCAAGCCCGGGCAGTGTTATTAAAAGCGTTCGCTTCTCGCTTTAAGCGCTGAAGCGACGCGAGGCGATGTTCTATCGCTTTTCTACTACAAAAGCAACTCACATAAAAAAAGCGCACGCTGTAACCGCTTAAGCGAGAAGCGCCACGATGGAAAAAGCACAAAAAAGCGTGCTTAAGCGACGTGAAGGCATCTGCTAGGTTTTTTTTTTAAAATTTTTTGGCAAATAAACCGTAAGTTGCCAAATAAACATACGCTCTTCTGCTGCTCCAACTCCAGCGACGACTGCTGCTCCAACGACTGCTTCTTCCCCAGTTCTCTGTAAGTTTCTTCTTCTCTCTTCTTCTCTTCTGCTTCTTCTCTTCTTCTTCTTCTGTTCAACTCTTTTTTCTCTTTTTCTTTCTATTTTTTTCACTTTCTATTGCTCTGTTCTAGACATCTAATTTATGCTCTGTTCTTCTGCCCTATTTTTCTCTTCTTCTTTCTATTTTTTTCACTTTCTATTGCTCTGTTCTAGACATCTAATTTATGCTCTGTTCTTCTGCCCTATTTTTCTCTTCTTCTTTCTATTTTTTTCACTTTTTATTGCGCTGTTTTTGTGCCCTAAAACTATGCTCTGTTTTCTGGTTTATTGCTCTGTTTTTGTGCCCTAAAACTATGCTCTGTTTTTCTGGTTTTATTGCTCTGTTTTTGTGCCCTAAAACTATGCTCTGTTTTTCTGGTTTTATTGCTCTGTTTTTCTGTTTTCTGCTAGTGCTCACTGTTCTTAGCCATTTATCTATGCCTATTTTTTTATTTTTATTTATGTGTTAAATTGCGCTTAACATGAAAAAAGCACGCGCTTCGATTCGCGCTTTTCGCTTCGGTGAAGCGAGGCCTCGTCGCTTTTCTGCGCTTAACGCTTTCCAAAATACTGGGCCCGGGGGCCTTATCACTAACACCATTCACATGGAAGTACTCAATGTTTGTTTATCATGGACTCCTATCTCTTTTATCCATATTTAGAAATGAAGCATGTAAAATTGACTAACTTAGTTACCTTTCTTTTTGGTGAATCTGAATCTCTTGAGAACTCCATTATGTCTACTCTAAGATCTAACCCACTTGCTACCAACTTCGGCAACTTAAATTTATATCCCTCTTTCTTTATCACTTTTTCTTTCTCAGGGTCAGTTTGATCTATTTTTATAGCTGAATTAAATACAAACAATTCATTCATTGAATAGAATTTTTGTATCCACAAAGTAACGAAAGTACTATAAGTTGCAATAGACCAAAGGGTATATTAAATTATTTTAGTAAAACATTCTTTCCTTTACTTGGGAAGCGAAAATGACATCCATTTGGGATAGAAGGAGAAATTAAGAAATGGTAAAATTGGCCAAGGGGTAGGTGGAAGAGTGCCTCATAGGCCTCCAAATTTATAGTTGTACGTATTCAATACTTCTCTGTCTCTATTTATTTAACGTAGTCTCTGTTCAGGAGTGTTGAGAGTATCTTTTATCCAATAAGTTCAAGTGCTTTTCTAGCAGTTCAGATTCTATTTTTGTAGTCAGTTCTCTTTATTTTTTGACGAAGTTGATAAATTATTGATGTGATGAAAAACCTTCATACTCGATGTATAATGAAAAGAATCTTACATATAAACTCTTGCAAAAAAAAAAAAAAAAAATTACATACAAACATGATTCTATCTGAAGAGGTATTGGGAACCATAGACTTTAACAATTACTAGCCTATGCATATTTCTGGTGCTTCTCAAACAAAGGCTATAAAGAGAGGCCAGTATTGTGAATTAAAAGTTTGGTAGGTGAGATGTTGTGGCCATGCCTGCAAGTATATACACAGACAGATTTGTAACGAAATAGTATCATCCAATGTTGTCTGATAAAAGATACCTATCTGTCTATATAAGAGAGATAAGAGTAATCTGTAACTATCAATTGCAAATCATAATAACCAGTCATCTTGGTTGGTTATATGCCAGGAAAAGGTGTTGATATCTCTCCAGAGCTGCATTATTGACTCTTCAATAGAAGTAACATGTCCTGATTTTATATGTTTTTACTGTTGGCTGCAGAAATGTCAGAAGAGGAAGGACGTGATGCGTCTTCGTCTCCTAATGTCATACTTGCAAAACGGTATTGAAAAGCCTTGGCAAAGGATTTCATCCATTACTGCCGTATTTGTTGCAGAGGCTTCTTTTGTACTTTTGGATCCTTCACATGACCATTATTCAGCAATAAGTGCATATCTGATGCGTTCTCCAAGTGCAAATATGAAGGTATATCTTCAGTATCGGAAATTTTTAAGTGCCGTTTGTCATAAAGATCAACTATCCAGTCATATCTGATCATCATCTGACTAATTTGTCTAACAGTGCTTTTCCTTTCTCTTCTTCCCTCTGATCTTTTAACAGGGTATACCGTTGTTCCAGAATTTTTTCTGGAGTAGCTCAACTAATTTCATAGCAGAGAGGCTGTGGATCCTACGTCTGTTGTACTCAGGATTGAATGCGAATGATGATACTCAAATATATATTAGAAATGCCATTTTTGAGACCCTTTTGAGCTTTTATGTTTCTCCTATTTCTAGTCATGAATCAAAGGAGTTGATTGTTCAGGTAATTGAAACCCCATCTTTTATTGTTGTTGTTGTTGTTTGTTTGTTTTTTTCTCTTCCTCCTTTAGGAGTCTATTTGTCTTGCTTAAGTTTCCAAGTTTTGTTGCCTTTTGTTGTTGGTGTGTTAGTGATTATTTAGTTACAACTGAAGAAGCTGTTTATTCAGGTAATATGTCATGTGTTTTCTTCTGGTTGGCAATGTTTTCTCGTCTTCCTTTATTTTTTGTCTCTTCCTTACTTTGCTGAGCTTTTCTGGTAAGGTAAGATTTTATTAAAGGTACCAAGAAAAGCAAACAATCCAGCTGGGTTACAAATAGAATTTCTACATATCAACTAATTCCAAATCACCTAAATCCATATCACCTAACTCCTCTAAAAAATTTAATATTGTTCCAGATTTTCCATAACACTTCTTTTACATCATATCAACTAATTCCAAATCACCTAAACCCATATCACCTAACTCCTCTAAAAAAATTAAATATTGTTCCAGATTTTCCATAACACTTCTTTTACACCAAAAATACAAACTTCGTAAACATCTATTTTTAATCCTGGAGATGTTCTGTCTTCTCTCTTCAATACAGGCACTATTCCTTTCTAGCCATATTGTCCATAGCACACATAAAGGAATTGTCCTCCACACAGACAACTTATCTTTTGCCATCTTCTGAAGTTGCCAAGTTTCCAGCAAGCTCTTAACATTAGGAGGCATTGCCCATCTGACACCATGCAAATTTAGAAAGAATTCCCAACATTGTCTTGCCACTCTACAATGAATAAATAGATGGTTGACAGTTTCAAGATCTTCTTCACGCATATAGCATCTGTTAATAAGAATTATTCCTCTTTTCTGCAAGTTCTCCTGAGTCATACAAATTTCCTTTGCTGCCACCCATCCAAAGCAAGCTACTTTTAGAGGTGCTTTTGATTTCCAGATCGCTTTCCGTGGCTAGTCAGGCTCATACATTCCTTGTTGTTTCTGTAACAAAGTGTAGCATCTGCTAACTGTGAATTTTCCATCTCTGTTTGCTGCCCATACTATTGAATCTCTCCTACTATCCTCCAATATGACATTGTCCAGCAACTGCATTATGTGTGCATATTCATCTATTTCCTCGTCATTAAGGCCCCTCCTGAAGATCAGCTGCCGCCCATTGATTGAGTAGAAATCTGCCATCTTTCCTTCTGCATCATCTGTGCATATTCATCTATTTCCCAGTCATTAAGGCCCCTCCTGAAGATCAGCTGCCACCCATTGATTGAGTAGAAATCTGCCATCTTTCCTTTTTATTTGTGGAGCAACTATATAAAACTGGAAGTCTTGATGTGAAGCTTTCATTACCCAACCATAGATCAGACCAGAATAAAATATTGTGGCCATTTCCAGTTTCAGTTTCACAAGCTGACTGTACTCATTCAAGAGATTACTAATGGTACTCCAAACTCCCCCCAAAGAAGAGGACTTTATTGCACATGGAGCCCGAAAATCTTTCCTCCCATATTTAGCTTCTACAGGTTGCTTCCATAACCTCTTGCTTCCATCATTATACCTTCATAGCCATTTGAACAATAGGCTTTGATTATGCAGCCTCAAATTTCTAACACCCAAACCCCCTCCTTTTTTCCTTCCATCACCTCCTGCCACTTAATCAAATGGAACTTCCTGCTGTTAGAGTTACCTTCCCACAGGTATTTACTTCTCATAGCATTCAACTTCTTTTCCACTGCTACTGGCATCTTGAAAAGAGACATCAGATAGGTTGGTATACCATCCAGCATACTGTTAACCAATGTAAGTCTCCCCCCAAAAGACAAGTATTGTCTCTTCCATGGTACTAGTTTACTTGCTTGCTTTGTTGAGCTTTCTGGTTGCCTTTTATTTTATGCTTCTAGGTTCTGATTACTATCTATTTTTTAATTGAAGCTAATTGCTTAGTTATTTTCAGTTTAGAAGCTCAAAAGTAATAATAACTCCGTTTGCGAGGGGCATCATGAAGGGATGGGAAAAGTTTAGTGAAAATATTACTTTTAGGATTGGGGATGGAAGCAGGGTTCATTTTTGGGAGCATAAATGGTGTGGTGAGAATATATTGAAGGAAGATTTTCCCAACATTTATGGAGTTTCGTGCCAAGAGAGCTGACAGTCCGACAGATTCACATGTTTAATGAGGGGGAAGTTCACTGGGATTTGAGATTTAGGAGGGACCTCCAAGATTGACTGTTGGGGGAATTTGAAACCTTGGTTGAACTTTTGTACAGGCAGAATACATCACAGACTATTCCTGATGTATGAAGATGAGATGGCAAGTGAGTAGAGATGATTGGTTCACTGTCAAGGCTTATTATGAGAGAGTACTGAGGAGGGAGGAGGTCACATTTCCAAGTCGCTCTATTTGAGTCCCTAAGGTGCATAGGAAGGTTTGCTTCTTTGTGTGGCTGGCATCGAGGGGCGTGATTTTGACAGCGAAAATCCGAGGAAGAGGAAGATCACCTATGTTGGCGTTTCATGTGCAAAGGTTCGGGGAAAGATGTTGATCATCTCCTTTTGCATTGTCGAGTGGCTTCATGACTGTGGGTTTTGGTCCTTAATTGGTTTGGAGTGCAAAGATGGGACGACATGAGTGGGAAGAAAAGTCCAAGGGCGTGGAAGTTTGATCCTTTAGCTATCATGTGGATGATATGGAAAGAGAGAAAGAAGAGAGCTTTTGAAGGGATTGAGTTAGGTTTTGTAGAGTTGCAAAATAGTCTTTTGTCTATAGTTTCTTTTTGGTGTACCCATGAGGTGTCTATTTGTATAGATGATTTGGCGTCTTTCGTTGAGAACAATATTTTGGTGTAGGTTCTCTTTTTTTTGCGGTATATTACTTGTACACGGGGTTCTCCCCTTCTATTAATAAAATTATTTACCATATCAACAAAAAACTCCTTTTGCTGTATTTTAAGCTTATTTAACTACTGTACAAGAGTGGGGCTCTTATAAATTTTTATGTGGCCGGGGAGAAACAAATCAAGGGACTAGTGAATTGTCGCCATCAACACCAGCTTCCCCCCCCCCCCCCCCCTCTTTTTTTCCCCTTTCAAAATCACCTCTACCAAAAAAGATTGGATTCTGTGATGATTACCATTCTTACCATGCATATTACATTGATAACCTTAGTGCCATAATTGCTGCTACCAACACCTCCATATTCATTGCCAGACTCAATCATCAAAAGCAAGAAACAAACTGCTATAATAATTGCTGGTTTATTTTCTTATTAATTGGAGTCATTCAGAGTTTCTTAGAAGTTTAATCGCGCAAGAGTGTTGTACTGGTCTCTTTCCTCCAGTTGGAATTACTGTTTACAACTTAATTTCTTTCTTTTCTTCTCTTGCTTTATGTGTCTCTGCCCTATCGGGGTAGGGGTAAGGTCGGCGTACACACTACCCTCCCCAGACCCCACTTAGTGGGACTTTACTGGGTCGTTGTTGTTGTTATCTTGCTTTATGTTAATTGAGGTTGAGGTTATGTAGTTTTTTCCACTTGCATGCATTATGAACAAGCTCAATATCAGTTTGAAAATGAAGCATTTGTTGGCATGTTACCTCAGAAGTGTCATTTGGGGGCATAGATTCATCTGCTCATTTGGTTATCCTTGCATCCAGTAGATAAGAAGTGATAGTAAGCTTCTACAATGAAAGTACATTTATCCCTTGCTTTTTATACAATCTTGTAACTAGAACTGTTAACATTGTGTTCACATTTTACACCAATAAACTTATTAACTTAAAAAATCCTAGAAGTGCACGTATTGGCAAGTTTGTTCCTCTTTAAGTATATGAAGTTCTTGTTCCATATAGTTATAGTGTCATAAGAATGTGGGTCTTTAGTTTGTTGGTTTAATGCGGAACATAAATTTTAATTTCGTTTATAGGAGCTTGTTTTTTACCGTCTCCATCCAATAGATGTTTTTTCACTTGATCATGTTTCTCTTTCGGAAGAGTGGTGAGCCTCTCCTAAGCAAGAGCTGAATTCAGTCAGATGGTTTATGTTGCAGATAGTGAAGAAGTCTGTTGGAATACCCAAGATGGCCAGGTACTTAGTTGAACAATGTGGCTTGATCTCATGGTCATCCTGTGTCGTTTCATCTCTCTCTTGGAGTCCGTGCAGAAGTGATTCATTTGTTGAGTTGACTGTTATACTAGAGGTATTTGTTCCTTTTATTAAGTACTATAAAAATCTCTAGTTCTTCTTTCCCTTCTTTTTAATTATCTCGACTCTTTATGCCGTTAGATGCATGACGTTTCTGTATTATCTCTCGAGGATGGAGAAGGCTTTTTATATGGACTTGAGTGTGTGCCAGTAGCAGGACGTTTCTGTATTAAACTCATTCATGACCTATACGTTAGGATGCATGACAATGTATTCACAGTTGAAGAGTGTTGCTGGGATATAGTAGATCGATATTTGAGTTTGCACCTATATGCATATATATTCTAATATGGACTTTTAGGCAGTCAAAAGGATCAATATTTCTTTTTTCTCAAACAAATATATTAATCATGTTAGTATTTTATGTACATATTCATTTAGAGAAGTCTCCAATTCCTATAAATTCATTATTCTGTGTACCAGTCTGCTGAAATAGAGTAAGAGACATGGGTATTGACTTCTAAACCATTGGATGGTGATAAGTTAAGTTATGGATCAAGTGTCGACTGTAGCCACCAATACCAATCAAGAAATTTGGGTTTCCGAGGTTAAAAGTGTTTTTGTTGATTCCATTCAGATCGTCTGAACTGGGGTAACACAACAAGAAAAACTTGCATGCATCAACCTCGATGTCCTTGGGTATTTGCCAAGTTTTGTCAGATTTAGGTTCTAATCCTTGGGTATTTGCCAAGTTTTGTCAGATTTAGGTTCTAAGTAGTGTACCACATCATTTTCCACCATAGTCAGACAGTGTACATTATACTCTCAATTCATTTTCAGTATTGCTGCTCTCCTTCACCACCAATAAAGTGGAGATTGACTCAGCCCCTCCAAAGCATTAAATCTCGTGGTACTTTTCCCAGATTGAAGTCATTGCTGAGTCGCTGAACACTGTTTACCCTTTTGCATCTTGAACTGTTTTATGTCCCTGATAGCTTTTTGTGTACACTGCTATACTTTATTCGCTTATCACACGTTTATTGTTTAGGCACTCAATGAAGTAATTTTGTCGAGACATACTATTGAGTGGATGCAGAAATATGCCTTGGAGCAACTTGTGGAACTCTCTTGCAATCTATACAAGATGCTAGTTGAACGTGTTGAAATATTTAAAGGAAAGACTCAACTTGTTAAACTGATTCTACAAATAGTTACATCAGCATTTAAGATATCCCAAAAGAGGAAAGTTTATCAACCGCATTTCACCATCTCCATTGAGAGTTTACTTCAGTTATGTGAAGTTGTTGATGAATGCTGTGATGGAAGGCAAAGTCCTGTTGCACAGATTGGACTTGAAGCTGTACTTATGAGCACCCCTCCAGTAAATATTCTGCAAATGGTAAACCCCCTTTTCACTCCTTCTATAAGCTACGTGTTTGTTGATATCAAGCTTTGTATACATTCCTGCTTCTGCTGCAAGCTAAACATGGAATGTGCTTTGAAATTTGAAAAAAATGCAATTGTGCGAGACTGGATGCTTCGTGCTTTTGGTGTAGGAATATCATGATCAGTGTTGTGAAAAGCGTGAAGCGAGGAAAAGCGACAAGCCCCATTTCACGAGAAGCAAGAAGCGAAGCGCTCGCTTTTTTTAAGTGAAGCGGAATAAAAAAAAAAAATTTAAATAAATACTGCATAGACAACACATGTAATTGTAAGCAAATGTTCAATACTTCAATTAAAAAACTAAAGAGTAGCATCAATTAAAGCACAAAATGAGCATCCTATTCTTCTACAAGATTGTCAAATTCTTGTATTCCACTATCATTATTAAATTGGGCAGAAATTGGGGGCAGAAACTGGAAAAATTGGGCAAAATTTTTTTGAGAAAGAACCGAAGGTAAAAAAAAAATTCGCCAGCATTTTGGAAGTTTAGAATGAATAAGAAGAAGAAGACTGAAAATCAAAAGTAGAAGAAGCAGAACATACCTGTGCTGTTGAAGAAAGCAGAAGAACAAACCTTGGAACTTGAGATAATTTCAGAAATCTGAAGTTGATGAAGAAGAGAAGAAGAAATCGCTGCTCTTGTTGAAGAAAAACCTAGTCTCGCTGCTGTTTCTGAACTCCAGATAGTATTTACGGTTTACAATAGGGCTTGGGTTAATTTAAACAAAGAAGCGGTCGCTTCTCTCGCTTTTTACAGAGAAGCGGTCGCTTTTTCGTACCAGAGTCGCTTCACAGACCTAAAGCGCTTACCTGGACGCCTCGCTTCGCTTCTCGCTTAAAGCGAGCGCTTTTTTAATCGCTGATCATGATAGAAAACTTGTTATAGTATTTTGATCTTCTGTATTCTTTGGGGATGTAACTGGAACAGATACGCTGTAATCCGTTAGCATTTCATTTAACCCATTAAATTTGAGCATTTAACAAGCTGATCTACACGCATCTGTTCTTTTTGGATTGGTAGGCACACATCAGATGGATTAAAGTAAGGTGCAAACACTTTGACTTGAAACTGGTGCTGACTCTCTTTTTTCAAAGATAAATGTTGGACTAATGAGTTCTGATAATAAGAGACGTCATAATCCATTTTTCTGTATCTTGTGATGAGTTAGGATTAAAGTTGTCCAAAGCAGTAAAATCTTGTGCTAGATGTAGGGTCCTGGAATTTTATACCCGCCT